CTTATTATTATTATTATTATTATTATTTTGTTTCAATATTAATAAACCCGTTTAATTAAAATTAATTTTTTTTTTGTCGTGAGAATTTCAAACGAATTGTTTTATCATTATTATTATTGATAAAAAACACCCTATTATTATTATTATTATTTACTTATTTATAATAAATAATTAATAAAAATTTATTTAAATTAATTACGTCATTTAAAAAAAAAAAAAATTTATTCACGTATTTCTAATTTTTTTTTTTTGTCGAAAGTGAAATTAAAAAAACCGATGATGATGTTGATGATGATGTTGATGATGATGATGATGAAAATAATAATAATAATAATATTAAAAGAAAATTTTTTTTTTTTTTATTAAAAACTTTTCAAAGTTGAAATTGATTTTTTTTTTTTTTTTTATTTCTAACAATCAACTGCCAGTCAAAAAGTCAAACTTAAATTTTTTTTTTTTTTTTAAATTATTCATAAGAAAATTTAATTTTTTATACATTTAAATCTAACAACAAAGAAAAATCGTTATTATTATCATTGGAGAAAAATGAAAAATAAAAAAAAAAATGGCGGATATTTTATATATGTATTAAAAAATGACAAAACAGTTGGCCAATTGAACCTTTTTTTTTTTTTTGTATGTTTATTCCCAAAAGGATTATTTATCTTCTCTTCTCTCTAAATAATATATATAATATAATCAAAGGGAGAGAGACTCTGGAAATGATAAAAAAAAGCAAAACAAATTATTATTATTATTTTTTTTTCTCCAGCATCGGATTGAAATTTTAATTCGTTTTATAAGCGAGAATATGTGTGATACGTGCACGTTTTATATTTAAAAAAAAAATTTTTTTTTTACGTACGTACGTAAATAAATAAATAAATAAATGTATTTATGTATCTATGTATACATATAATAATAATAATATTTTCTTTTAAAAGGATTCAAAAAGCGTTTGAAATCAAAATAAAATAAATTAATAATATAATAAAAAAAAAAAAAAAAAATTGAATTAAAATTTAAATAAGGCTTATTCAAGAAAGAAAGAAAGCGAAAAAAAAATGGTGGAAAAACTTTTTTTTTTTACGTACTTTTTTTTTCTCTCTCTTTCTTCCCCTACCTCCCCCTCCCCCTCTCTCTCTCTCTTGCACAAAAATAAATCGGCTTAAATTCTTTGAATCTTAAAAAGGAAAACGAGGGAAGGAAAAAAAAAGGAAAAAAAAATCAATTAAATTTATAAACGTTTTACAAATGAAAATTTAATTTTTTTTTTTTTTTTTTTTGCGAGTTAGCCTACTTTACATTTTACATAAAAAAAGATAAATAAAGATAGAGAGAGAGAGAGAGAGAGAGAGAGAGAGAGATCGTTAACTTTTATTTTCGAATATTATTTTCAATTTAAAAAAACTTGAATAAAATGACCGGTTTATTTTTTTAAAAAAAAAAAGAAAATTCAAATTGATATTACCTATAAAAAAAAAAAAATAAACGATTCAGCCATTTTAAATTGAAAACAATTGTTTAAATTTATTTTTTTATTCGTTCTTTAAAAAAAAAAATTGTCTATTGAAATTTTTTCTTTCCAATATTCATTTTCCCCATTTTTTCTTATTTTCAGTTGTCACGGAAAATCACGAAGAAACGAGATTACCGAAAAAAATTCAAAATGATATTCCTTATATTACATTTCGTTCGAGGATTGATAATATCGAACCGGAAAACGATGCCGAAATGTTTTGGGAAGTCACAGCTCCGTCGGATATCGTAGATGGTAATCATCCAGATTCTAAAATATTGACCACCCACGATCACGTTGATGAAATGATGACTGGACAAAATCCTCCGGCTAAAAGAGTTAAAAAAATTTTACCACCTTTCGAGCAAAACAGAAGAGAAAGAAACGTCGCACAAGACAAAAATTTTTCTTCGACGATAATTAATAATAATAATAATAATAATAATGTTCGTTACGAGAGTGAAAATGTGAATGTGGAAAACGTAACAAGAAGTAATGACGTAAAAAACGAACGTGGATCACCGAGTTTTTTTTTAAAAACGAAAATATTTAAAATTGATAACAAGACTGATGATGAAAAAAACATTAAATTAAATTTAAACGAAACAATCGAAATTAAAAATAATAATAATTTAATAAATAAAAACATTGAAATAGTAGACGGAATTCAAGGGATTCGTTTGGTTCCAGACGATCACGAAACCGTTACCAAAGAAAATAATAATAATGAAGGAGGCGGCGGTGAAGAAGAGGAGAAAGAAGAAAAGGGAGAACGACAAGAGGAAGAGGCAGAAGAAAAAGAACAAGATGAAGAACAAGAGAAATTTTCAGTGCATAAAAGCATTTGGGATTTGCTTAAAGAAAGAGAAGAATTTATTGACGAAACGGAAAATATTGATGATAAAATAAATTTTAAAGAAAATGAAACGAACACGGTAGAAATTTCCAGCAGCAGCAGAAAACCCGTTTTTGAAAATTCGAATACCATAGACGATGACGACGAAACCGACGCTGTTGAAAATTTTAATCAGGGATATTTAAACGTTGAAAAACACGAATTGCCATTATCCTATGCTTTATCATGGTTACCGAGTAAAACGAATACGAAAATAAAAGCAGACGACGATAAAAAATCAACAAAAATACCACGTGACATATCTAAACTATTAGAATTGACGGAAAATTCAAATTCGGAAACGGATGCAACCGTCACCGTTATCGACATCATTGAAACGGATCAAAACAATCATGGCGGCGGCGGCGGCGGCAGTGGCAGCAGCAAAGACGACGACGACGGCGACAAATCTGGTAAGTGGTACTTGTTTTTACTCATGGGTAACACAACAATTATTCAATTACGAAGAAAAGATTTTACAAAATATTTAAAACTTAATTTGGCGGCACGTTTGAGCGTTGAATATGATGACGTAAGAGTTAATAAAGTTATTTTGGCATCGCCGAAAATTCTCGTAAACGTGAGCGTTTTCAATTCGTCGCCGGATGATTTCGCTGGAGAATACAAAAAGGATTTAAAAGATAAGTTTAATGATAAGGGAGAAACGTCACTATTTAAGCTAGCTGAGACAAATGCAACTCTCCTGGAATTATCCGGTGAAGAATATCACGTAATTAGATTTTTATCTCTTGAATCTCAAAGACCGGAAGCGGAAGCGCACAAGGATTCCCCATCATCGGTAACGACGTTTTCATCATCTCGGCAAAACGATTTCGAATTTATTTTTTACACTTTTATCGGTAGTACCTGTGCCTGCGGCATAATATTAATTTTTTTTATCACTCTAAATAAATATTTTCGAAAAATATCGGATTTCGATTGGCCGACCATGAGAGTTAAATCATCGGCGTGGAAACTCGAAGAAAACAACGAGTCGGACAAAGACTCGGATTTTACAAATATATCACCGGCGGTTATTTATTCAGGTGGATTTCCTCAAATAAGAGGATCTTGGATGAGCGGTACTCGTCCACCATCAACAGATCAACCATCTTCCGCAACAACAACAACAACAACAGTAACAAACAACAGCCGACAAAAATCAATAACGGATTTTAATTATTCACCGCCGACTAGAAAACAACAATCGACGTATTTATCCGAGCCTGAAAATTTATTTACCACGAATTGTAGAAAACAAAGTAAATTAGAAATCTATAATTGTGATGCTAAAAATCTCGTCATGATACCCGTACTCGAAACTCAGGTCAACGTTGGAAAAAATGACAAAAAAATATTTAATAAAATTAAAAATGGCGACACGCAACCGTTAAATTTAAAAATAAATATCGATAAAAACGGACAAGACAATCCTTTATTTAAAAAATAATAATAATAATAATAATGACGTTTATAAATATTTTAACGGAAAAAAAAACGAAGTTAGTAGGCCGCAAAAAGAAAAAAAAAATCAAAATGGCTGACATCCGGTATATAAAATTGAATTATACGTTTGAGCGAAATACACGTAGACTTTGATTTTTTACTTGAGCTGTCTTTACAAAAAAAAAAAAAAATATTTTTATAATTTTTTTTTCTCTTTTTTTTTTGTGTACTAAAAAAAAAAAATTCTCTTTCATCCATTTTTTTTTTATCGATTTTATTTTACAAAAAAAAAAATGGCTTCGAAAACTTATGAATTTTTTTATTTTATTTTTTTTCTGTTAAATTTATGGGGATTTTTTTATTTTAATACCAAACCGTAAAATCTTGAAAATCACGATTTGCGAAAGGGGGAGGCGGGGGGAGGGGGAGGAGAAAAAAGATTTATAAATTATTATCATCATCATCATCGCGTTTTTTTTTTTTTTAATTTTTGAAAATCTTTAAATGTTATATAAATTAACAAATAATGCAACCAAGCGAACCGCCTACTACAGCTTTGCAATTAACAAACTTTTAATGAGTTTGAATGAAGAAAACAACTAAAACCACTAAAATTAAAATTTTAAATTCGCTTAAGTTTTTTTTTTTTTTTCGTTTTCATTTTCGCATTTTCATTTTAAAAAAAATTCCGTAAGGAAGAAAAAAAAATTGTTTTTATTATTATTATTATTATTGGTAAATTTTTCAATCGGAATTCTCAAACCGATATATATAAATATTTTTTTTCCTCCTGTAAATTTTCCAATTTCGGACGATGGAAAATACGATAAAAAAAAAAAACAAAAACAAACATTCAAATGGGAATTTATGTTTTCCAAGTTAAAATCGAAATGGTTACTGTTCCTGTTGTTGTTTTGAGGAAAAATCCCTGTGGGAAAGGTTTTAAGGTCTCATCGAAATGATTCTCACACAAATGTCCGACTTTTAACTTTAAATATTAATAATTTCTTTTTTTATTTTATTTGGGATTTGATTGTATTTTTATTATTATTATTATTATTATTATTATTATTATTATTATTATTATTATTATCATTTTAAAACATTTTATACAAATTAAACAAAAATTAAATTGAAATTAATTTTATTTAATGAATTAATAATTATTATTATTATTATTTGAAATTTGGGGAAAAGGAATCGTTATTAAGATTTTAAATGATGAAATGGAGTTAAAATGAAGAAGGCGGGGGGGAGGGAGGAAAGAAGAAAAAAAACAAATGTCGAGGATAAACATGAATCATTAAAAAAGGCCCGGAAACCATGAAAAACAAAAAAAAAATAAAAAAATACACAAGTGGGATTATTGGAAAAAATCTAACTGGAAAAAAAAAAAAGAAAATTCTTTTTAGAAAAAAAAAAACAAATATTTTTCCCGAGGATGAAAATATATATATACACTGTCTTCAATAAGAAAAAAAATTAAGACGTCATCATCAACATTTGAAAAGTTATGGCCGGATGAAAAATATTATAAAAGGGAAAAGTTAATGGAAAAGATTAAATTTCGTTGAAAAATCTGCCACAAACAGTAGAATGCCGTTGATTGATTGCGTAACTTTTGATCGGGGGTTCGTAGGAGGAGGAAAAAGAGGGGAAGGAGGAGGAAAAGGAGGAGAAAAGAATGAAAAGAGTGTGGGAAAACGATGACACGGTTTATTTCCCCCTCCCCCGCTCTCTTTTTATTCTCATATTTCCGTAAATCTGACTTCCCCCCCCTTACATCTCATCCTA